TGATTCATACCTACCTTCATTTCCTGCACTTAAACCGCAGTTTTGCTTTAGTACTTTTTTTTGTACTATTTTAATTTTGAAATATAAATCAGCGTCCATCCCATGAGCATCTGTTTATACATTTTTAAAATAAACAATAAGCTATATCTTGTACCGAAAAAGTCGGGTGACCAACGAACTCATGGAGACTCCAGACTCGAGGATTTTCCATTTTTTATTTGATTGCCCAAAGTTCTTAAATTTATGTCTCTTTAATTGAACATTTTCTGACCTCGTAATTGCCGAGCCGTAATTAATGCTGGAAAATGGATATTTAACACTTAAAAGATTGCCCCATAAAACTTAAAGGACTTCCACGACCATTATGTAAAAAAAAAATGAATAAAAGTTATTATAGGTAGTTCCAAAAATTACCTGTAATATTTCCTAGCAATCTTCCTTTTCCCTTTTTTTTAAACGAATTTCACTTCTATAGTTGTCCCAACGAGAGAAAAGTGTACATATTAAAAAGAAGAGAGAAACCGCAAACGTTTTTGGCTATAATGTGGATTTAAAAAAAAAAATATTATGCTTTATTCTCCATAATTTTCCTACACGGGGTTCCGTCACGCGACTGTCATCAGGCAAAGGGTGGAAATTTCCACATATTATTAAAAATAATTGATTTTTTGTCTTTTATGTTTTTCGATGTTAAATATTCTAGATATGAGACATTTCTTTTTGTGCGTTGGTGACACAAATGTCTTTCTTATATATATATATATATATATATATATATATAAGTGGTAGAGCGTATATAAATCTAAAAGATGACGTTGAGGTCAGAAACCCAGCGGTTGCAGTTTTCTCGTAGATATTCAATTCCAGAATCGAGGAATTGACATTTCTAACACGATTGACCAAAGGTTTTATCAAAAAACTTTCTGACCTGGCAATTGCAGACCCGTAATGAATACGGGAAGACGGATATTAACAATTAAACGATTCCCGCTTAACATTGAAAAGACTTCCACAAACATTATGTAAATAAAACTATGGATTTTTTGTATAATTTATATAAAATAAATTTTAATAAAGATAATTGATTTGTTTGTTTTGATTTACATTGGGTATATATATGATTTCTAAGATAAAAAAAATACAATAAAAGAATAGGAATTAAGAAAACAGAAGAAGAAGACAGTAGATAACGATTGACATTGCATTTAAATTTTTGAAGATCAAAGTTGACTGGAAAGCAAGAAGCCGGAAGAGAGTTCCACAAGCGAAAATTGAGTGAGAACAATAGAAGAGTAATCAGGAAGACAGTAGATAACGATTGACATTGCATTTAAATTTTTGAAGATCAAAGTTGACAGGAAAGCAAGAAGCCGGAAGAGAGTTCCACAAGCGAAAATTGAGTGAGAACAATAGAAGAGTAATCAGGAAGACAGTAGATAACGATTGGCATTGCATTTAAATTTTGAAGATCAAAAGTTGACAGGAAAGCAAGAAGCCGGAAGAGAGTTCCACAAGTGAAAATTGAGTGAGAACAATAGAAGAGTAATCAGGAAGATAGTAGATAATGATTGGCATTGCATTTAAATTTTTGAAGATCAAAGTTGACAGGAAAGCAAGAAGCCGGAAGAGAGTTCCACAAGTGAAAATTGAGTGAGAACAATAGAAGAGTAATCAGGAAGACAGTAGATAATGATTGGCATTGCATTTAAATTTTTGAAGATCGAAGTTGACAGGAAAGCAAGAAGCCGGAAGATAGTTCCACAAGTGAAAATTGAGTGAGAACAATAGAAGAGTAATCAGGAAGACAGTAGATAACGATTGACATTGCATTTTCATTTTTGAAGATCAAAGTTGACAGGAAAGCAAGAAGCCGGAAGAGAATTCCACAAGCGAAAATTGAGTGAGAACAATAGAAGAGTAATCAGGAAGACAGTAGATAACGATTGGCATTGCATTTAAATTTTTTGAAGATCAAAAGTTGACAGGAAAGCAAGAAGCCGGAAGAGAAAGTTCCACAAGTGAAAATTGAGTGAGAACAATAGAAGAGTAATCAGGAAGACAGTAGATAATGATTGGCATTGCATTTAAATTTTGAAGATCAAAGTTGACAGGAAAGCAAGAAGCCGGAAGAGTTCCACAAGCGAAAATTGAGTGAGAACAATAGAAGAGTAATCAGGAAGACAGTAGATAATGATTGGCATTGCATTTAAATTTTTGAGATCAAAGTTGACAGGAAAGCAAGAAGCCGGAAGAGATCCACAAGTGAAAATTGAGTGAGAACAATAGAAGAGTAATCAGGAAGACAGTAGATAACGATTGGCATTGCATTTAAATTTTGAAGATCAAAGTTGACAGGAAAGCAAGAAGCCGGAAGAGATCCACAAGTGAAAATTGAGTGAGAACAATAGAAGAGTAATCAGGAAGACAGTAGATAACGATTGGCATTGCATTTAAATTTTTGAAGATCAAAGTTGACAGGAAAGCAAGAAGCCGGAAGAGA